TAATAATACATTTATCGAGCGCAGAAACTATCAAACATTAAGTATATATTCTACTACACTACAAGAGCTCCTGATATGCTTAGATTTACAGTTAATTGAAAAGATGTGCTTTCAGATTTAAACCAATCGCAATCAGAACAAACACTCAATACTTGCTTTCTCTATTGGGTCAAGTTGCTTCATTTACCTGCTCAAAAATGAATTCATAGTTCCTGTAAAATGTTCTTTCTTTAGCAGCCAAAGATTAAGATGATGAGGAATATAAGTCTCAATGTTAAATATCCTCATCCACCACAAATATTGGTTTTATTAATCACAGATTTTACCCTTTAGAAAAAGCTTCATTCTCAATTTCCTTTTTGACACTTCAAGGGAATGCCCTTTAATAACAAATTCCTTTGAAACTTGGATAGAAATTAAGTTGTAATGTCATCACAGGTAGTCAGACCCGCTAAATAAGACCACATGACTTAAGGTGCTGGAGGTAAGCAAATGCCCCCCCCCCCTGAAATCATTCCACTAACCTATGGTTCTGAATATGTCTCACTCTTCTTTTTATCACATTTTATTCTTTTAAGGAAAGAAGCAACTGCTCCTTCCTATCATTATTCTACCTTATGGCTCTAATTATGTCTCTCTCTCTCTCTCTCTCACCTCCCTTTTCTCTGTTAGCTTTTTAAGTACAGAACGTGTCTTGGCTGTGCATAATATGATAAGACTTCGACACAATTGGGTCAACAGACTCTAGACAGTCTGGATATCTTCGCTAGCTAGGGGGTTACACCTTTGTCACCCTCTGTCAAATTGAGAGACGAAACGAGGAATGACAGAGTACACATTTGGAAATCATTTTACAGGTTCGTCATCCCGTGGTTTCAATCTGGGAGTAGAGTATGTTGGGTTCATGACCATCAGAGAGATCGTCCTGGGCATCACCGGGGGTCTGGGGGTGGACGTGACACAACCATATATAATCAAAATGTTCTCTCAGCACATTTTGTTCACAACATTTGATGTCTTATGCCTTTTAAGTCTTCATTTACGTATCACTAGTACACATTTTATTCACCCATTTACTTTAAGCTTTATTTGAAAATCAGCTAACTTCTCAGCATAATATGGATTGACATCCCCCCATTCAAAGTGCTCAAAATGGTCTAGCAATGCTCGTACCTATCAATTAATAGAAAACATTTCAAACAGAAGTGAAAGTTAAAAGCTAAGAGGAAATTAAAAATTAGAAAACATTTCTGTGCGTTCTCTTAAAGTTTTTGACAGGGAAATGTTGAAACTTAGGTTTGATATATTGTATTGCATTGTAGAGAAGTTATATATAAAGTGCAGTGGGACAGGGGTTTAAAACTTCCCCCTCACCGACATTGAGCTGGTTTAGGAAAGGTGGATAGGGTAAAGGAGGGGGTGGGGTATAAGCAGGCTGTTCCAAGTGCCATCAGTGTTTTATGTGTCATCTTCCCTGACGTGAGGGATATACTAAAAAAAGATCAACCCCTGAAAACAAAAACAATTATAATTATCATAAAAGTAAATCGCCATACATAGACACAAAACTATTTTAAATGAGGCCTGTGGTCGATCTATTCCTGGTATGAATACTGCCATTCATACTACCCTGGTTTCCTTGTTCTATATTCTAATCATTTATCCCTTTCTGTGAAGGGGACAAATCTTGACCGTCAAAAAGCAAAGGCCGGTCAGGATCTGGTCAGAGTCAGAAGGATGCTAGATAAATTCAATATCAAAATATAAGATTGAGCGTTCTCTTTGTTCTCAGCAGACGAAAGGATGCAGTGATTGAAATCAGCACAGTTTGCATTTTCGGGGGTATGAACACCATCTAAAAAGGATGTCCCAAAAGGGCAACAAGCACTACTGATGTTTCTAATTCTGAAGAAAAAGGGCATTTATAATTAATTTGCCAAAATGGATTTTTAATACTAATCTTTATCATATTGGCATGCACTATCCGTCTATCCAATATATTACCCATGCCTCTTCTCTGTCTCTCTGTTATGTCTCTATCTTTAATACCGTAAATGCTATATATTACTGATAAATTTCCAATTTCATAATATGACCCCACTAAACACTGAATTAATCAAGTATATAAAAGCATTTCATTTGAGTTAAAACCCTTTTAATCCCTTTATGCTTTTCCTCCCATCATCTCCCTATTCAACCATGGGCCACTACTAGCTCATCATATCAAACCAGTAATTATCGCAGAGCTGTTAGATGATGTCATGGGCAATGGATAACAATGCTCTTCAATTTCAAAATATGACCTCACTAAACACTGAATCACCCTTAGAGCAGGACGGTGATTGAGTTTCCATTGTCTGGCTATCGTCACACTAAGGGCGCGTTCATGCTTGATTTTGACGGCCAGAATCAGGCATCTGTTACGCGTTTAGTTTAAAACACGATTGCGTTCATGCTCACTTTTGTAGAATCACCGAAAAACGGCGATCACGATCGCCGATCGTAAACTCACAAAAAGATGCGTTTACAATTTGTAAACGCGTTTAAATGGGGTCAACGCACTGACCTCTAGTGGGTCTACGTAGCATGCGCACACAGGTTTGCGAATCCAGCTGAAGGCCACCCAAGGAGAATTGCCTGGAGAAGTGAGCATGAACAGTGCACCGTGGAACTGCGATTACGATGAGCGTTTACGATGAGCGTTAGAAATCGCTCATTCTGCCTTCAAAATCAAGCATGAACGCGCCCTAACAAGACTCGTGGTCCAGTCTGATATTCTCCCTAATGAGATAATTATATCGTCTGCTGAGGGCCAGAAGGGTGTTAGCTCTATGGAAGAGGATGTGGGCTAACACCCTTCTGGCTCTCAGCAGGCGGAATATGATGTCTGGACCTGTAATTGCCATTCAAGGCAGAATCAATAATTTATATCCCAAGTGAAGACACGGAATAACATATGTAGAGAGAATAGTGTTTTGTGTGCACTTAATGTTCAGCTATGAAACTGTTCTAACATTTTGTTTGAATTAACCAAATACATTTTGTTCACGATAGAATTTTGATTGCTAGTCATGATGTCCCATGGACAAAGTGAAGGCCTAATCAAATGAAAACTGGAATGATCTATAACAAGGTGGCATATCAATGAGGACTGAAAAATCCATTTTCCTTCATGGAGAAATCTGGAATAGCTCCCCCTATTGTCAGAAATCAGACAGGGTATCCACATAGACTTGTACAAGAAGCTAGTCTTCTCTACTGAATTCGATCTACAGATCTTTCTCTGCAAGAATTGGATTCAGTGAGATCAGATTACCTGGACTTTTGGGTATTCTACTGAGCAGAACTAAATATAACTGACATTTTATGGGCTTTCTAAGTAGAGATTACTGCTAGAAAGGTAAGGATGAGACATCTAGATCATCTCTGTGTTCTAGTTTCAGAAAGGCTTCATGAAGCAGTAAACCACAGATCAGGTTTCAACTCATTGTGCTGATTTCTACTTTAATCTTTATCCTTCTCTCTTTTTATTTCTCTTTCATTCTTTCCTTTTCACTTCTTTATCTATCCTTATTTTAGTGAGCTTAAAAGGAGACAGGTAAATTCCTACATTTTCTGCTTCAATTCTGACGGAATAAGTTATGAAATTTCACGAATTTCTTTTGACTACTTTTTCTACAATATCCAATGTCATTAAAATTCCACCAACAGGGAGCTGAAACAATTCACAGCTCTCTACAGTTTGTATCTATTTGAAATAGCTTCTTAAATTCTTTTTCTGCCTGTTAATCAGCCTATACTAACCCCTTATCTAAAATCCTCACCCTACCCATCAGGCACTTTCCATTTTCGTACCCTTCATATTATTTATTTCCTACATGTATCTTCTCTTATTTGTACAAATATTCTGTATCATAGATATTTTCCATCTCTCCTTTCCACGTCCCCTTTCACACCCCTTCTGAGTACTTGTCCATATATTGCACAATATAGCCAAAAGTGTTGACAGTTTGGAGGGGAGGGCGGGGGATTAGGGGTATGGGTAGGATAAAGGTCTCGACCCCTCAGTTCCATCTTTTTAAGTAGATGCACATGAAGGCAATGTGCCACTTGTGCCCCTCTGGCTACGCCTATATGAACAACCCCCAATCCACTAAACGTATTTCCAAATGTCTCCATGTCACCCCTTGGCACATTGAGAGAGGTGCAGCTACGCTTCATATCACTGCTAAGTCTGGTACCTGACCTAAATAAATTCTTTCCTTCTCTCTTTCCTCCGTCATTCTCCATTTCATAAACTCTGAAGTTATTGGAGCATCACCTTGCCTCCTCAATGGAGAGCTAACCAAATTCCACTTGACATTCTCATGTAGTTCAATTTTCTTCGGAGGCATTTTAGAGGGTAGAGCATCACATTATTTTTAATGTCAAGGAGTCAGCAGACTGTTCCCATGTGGCTCAAGTCATTCATAATATATCCAATATTGAAAAGCTCATATGCATGGGCATGTACTTGTTTGACTACATACCAGAATACCATACAGCTTTGTAACTAGCTTGCGAAACAAAACGGTAAATCTAACCTGCAACCGAACCCTAATAATGTTCATTTTTATAAAACAGCTATATTCTCAGAGGATAGCTGCATGTATCTAATCATACACAGCAACATTAGTTTCATTTCCTATTGATAAACATATCACAGTAAAACTAGTCTTAAAATTGTCGGTATTGAACCAGAAGGTGTTAACATATATATTTTAAAACAAGAGTTAATTAAGTTTTGGCCTTCAAAAGACAAAGTAATGTTTTAACAAAGGAGGGAGATAGAGCAATTTAAAAAAGGGCTCTTTTTATGTATTTCTTCAGCTATTAAAGCAATACTTTGTCCTGCATGGCAACCAAGTAGGCTCATCCTTATAACACCAAGGGTACCTACAATCAATTTTATGGTATGGATTAATATGAAGATAGAGATTAGGATTAAGAATACATCTTACCTCATCAAGGCACTGGTCGTATGTACCTCTCTGGTTCTCATTCTCCAAGACGAGGGCCGAGTTCTCCGATTCCAGCTGACGAAGTCTCTCCAGAAGAACAGACTTCTCTCTCACAACCTCCTCCTTACTTACGACCTGAAATCAATGAGAGAAGTCATTATTTTTATAAGACAATTGAAATGCTAGAGCGCCATAATGGCAGTGCCCTAAAGCCGGGGGTAGTAATTGTGGAACACCAGAAGTGTCAAACCTGACAGACATGAGCTCTATACAAGAACACAATATCACTTTTATTAACATTATTATTTCATTACGCAAAATATTAGATTTCTAATAAATGAGAAAGAAGTACAGAAAACTGTTATGACAGCTCTCTCTCTTTCTTTCTGTCTCTCTGTCTCTCTCTGTCTCTCTCTCTCTCTCATTCATACACTATCTCTTTTTTCGCTCTCTCTTTTTACCCCTCTTTCTTTGCATATCTCTCTCTCTCTCTCTCTTCCTTTACTCCATACTTCCTCCCTTTCTCTCTCATTCAACAGTTAGCAAATCAACAGTACTAGCAACTACAAAAATCATATGATGCAGCAAACAATTTACCATATCATTGATATTCTTTGTGTTATATCCTTTATAGCTATCACGGTTGATTCCTCTCTCCGTCTCATCCACCGAGAGGGCTGAAACCTGCACACAGCAGCCTGGCAGAACGAACAAGGTCTCCCGCCTTATCATGGTAAGATCCGTTCATACAACTCCAGCAAGATCTAAGAATCCATCAACTTTATATACCCCAATCCTCTAAATGTAATTCCTATCTGGAGAAAAGTTCCACACTGACCTGGGTTTTTATATATCTAACCCTACAATCACCCACTCACAAACTATATACAAAAATAAATTGAAGCAGAAGTAAGGGTCTCTTCCTCTGTGACAGTTACGACTGCCATCAGCGTCACGCAAAGTTTGCTAATTCCTGCAACATGTTTCCAAACGTGGTTATCTGGGTAGATTATCACACGCTTTGGGCTCTCTGGAAGCCTGATGAATCTAGCTGCCATCAAAGCTCGAGCTTCCTTCCTGGCCAGTTGAAGCTGTTCAGTGTCTCAAGCCGTCGTCCTAACTGCCAGGACGACGAGATGGACGGGTGGATGCATGTATCATCAGCCCATTCCTGACTAAACTGACATTTTTACGACATCCATGGAGTCATGAGCATTATCTACATGTGTTGACTAGCTATGGACGATTAGTCAGCGCTACTTTTAAACCAGATCTTTTTTTGTTGGTGTTCATATCAAAACAAATCTGGCTCAAAAATCAATTCCTTCCATTTCCTTCCGTTATAGGTGCCCAGCTGCAAGTAAAAGCACTTGTTCTTTTCCTCTGATGTACATATAGCTCAATCACAAAAAGTGTGATTTGACATTAAATCTTAAAATAATCCTTCTCTACAAAATCAGTCACACAGGAAATAGAAATAGTTCAAAAGGTGAAATAGAAATATCTCTGCCCATTACACACAATAGAGGAATATTCAAAGAGTGTATTGTATGAAGAAACTAAATAAAAGTAAATATTTCACGATATAATACAATTTTTAGGCACTATTCTTACCTCCTCCCTCTAATGAACCAAAATAGTTTTCATATTGAAATTCTCTTATCTATGGGAAATCAGAAAGTATATACTAATCTTAATATACCTTTGTGTAATCAGAGCTTGAAAGTACCCTTCATAGGTACAACCTGAAACTAAAACTTAAGTGAAATTGTTCTGCTCACGTCCATGACACTACAATCAACCTATATGACTTGACAATATTGCTTTCAAATTTTACAAGGATTTTCCCTAAAAATTGTGATTAAACGCGACAACTAATTCCCCCAGGGTGGGGGTACTAAACACAGCCACATTCTGGTTAGGGAAACTCCTCCTTTCCCTTCTCTCATATTTTGGAGAGATGGAAAAAGGTTAATATTCACCTTTTTGATGATTTAATCAAAACCAGTGAGTCTGAAAACCTAAAAGTTACTAAAACATATAAAAGTTTTAACCTAAGATTGAACCATTTTTCATTACAAGTATTCAGCAGTGTAATGGAGACTTCCTGATACTCAATAGCCATAATTCCTGCAAGTGAGTCATTTCTAAAATGAATGTGGAGAACATAAATGCACAAAACTGTTTTTCCCCCCATTCTGTCCTTGTGATAAACTTAAATATTTCTTCACTTCAAACTTTCAAAGCCATGAGTAATTTAGATACGGAACTTGCTAATGCATCACTGGGTCTTTTCATTTAGTTTCATATATGTGTGACGAAATCATAACCTATACTGCTGTCCAGTCATAGATATTCAAGTTTTCTCCATCCGTATCTTAATTTCACAATCTCTATTTCACAATCTCTATTTCACTTTCTCTCCCCCCCCCCCTCCCTTTTCCCCTCTAATATACCTAAGATTGAAATTACAAAGAAAAAAATGAGCCCACTACATTATGACTAATTGTCATAAAATGATTGAAACTTGATTCCGTCATTGTGATAATCGTAAGAATCTTAGATGACCTGGGGGGTCTTTCATAAAGCTGTTCGTAATGAAAAGCCAAATGGGATGCTCAATCATTATTGATTTTTATTTATTAAGTTGAACTGTGCAGATGTAGATTAACATTCTTATTATAACAAACATTTTTTGCCATAATTTTATTGAGGTTATTGGAAATATCAGAAAAAAATTTGGGCATCCTATCTGGCACTTCATAAAGTTCATTCGTAAAGTCAAGCGTAACTTTACGAAATCTTTATGAAACACCCCCCAGAAGCCATTGCTCAGCGTTATTGATTAGACTTCAGACTGAAGAGTGAGATGAGCAAAGCCCCTGTTCAGGTAATATCCATCGCTCCTCTCCCCCTAAACTACCAAAAAATTCTCTTCTTGAAAAAAATACATAATAAACGAAAATAATCATTCTAATTAAGATTGCTCAAATAGTTCTGAGTACAAATATAATTTAGAGGGAAAAAAAAATATTTTCCCCTCTCTTGACCTGATCCTCCATTGTTTTATTTAATCATTTGTTATTGGTAAAGTATAATAGTCAGCAGTAAGTGATCTGGTGGAAATATGATTTGATTTCATAGAGTCAGCACTCTCATGACAAGGTTGATTTTCATAAACTAATTAATATAGAGGATAAGAGTTCAATAATAAAGCAAATTTTTACATTTTCTTATGTTTGATGATTTTTCTTCCTTTTAATTACCATCAGTACAATTTTCATTTTGGGCAAGATAAAAAGTCAAGGTCAATATCAATTAACAAATCAGGTGTCAACTTTTTTTCTGCGTCGTTACCGTAATAACCCAAATATATGAAACTGGATTTTATGATCAAAATAGACAGAACAGGTGCTATATTATCATTAAACGTTTCCCCATATGATTCACAAATAGTGTTTACTGGCTGTCAATAGCATGTGATCCTATTGTGTTAATAAACGCGATCAGACACCTCTTAACAGGTTTTTCCTAAATTGATTACCATATTGTTTCTTTATTGCATTGACCTATATTTCTGTGATTTCATAGAATTGGCATAATTATGACTGGACCACACACGAAAAGAAGTGAAATCAGGAGAGAAAAAAAGATAAAGAAATAGCATCTGTCGAGTTTTTATCAAAATATATGACTATGCTCTTCTGGCTCTAAATAGACAATGCATGTGTACCGGAATGAAGATAGAGCAGAGGGAAAAAGTAATAACATTGAGAGTAAAAAATATTTATCTATCCCAGCCCATCCTTCTCCATATCATATACTCTAACAATAATTATTAATCACTTCTGTAATTGTATCTTATCTTTATGCTTTTGCTTTGTATATTCCTTGTAATTAAGCCCCCCAGGCTGGCCTTTCTAATAATTACCATTTCATTTCAAAGATGGTTGCAAAGATGTTGGAAAGATATAGATAGGGGCATGTGATGAAAGAGAAACAGAGAATGAAACATAATCAGAAAGGAATACCATTTATTAGAGAAAGTCCTCTTTTCACTGCATATTGAATTCTTCAAAGCACATTTTTTTGTCATCTGTTAAGTATCTGGGCTACATTCCTCCTCCTCCTCCTTCATCTTCATTAGATCATTCGTTATGCCACAATTATCATCAGACTTTACTAATGCCTCCTAAATTCTACTCCAGAATCTTGACAACATCAATTAACCCAATTCTAAGTGAATCCCTTTTCGTCTAGCTCCAGCTCCTCCAAACTTTCCATCTTCCTACCCAACTCTCTCTCTCTCTCTCACTCTCTCTCTCTCTCTCTCTCTCTCTCTCTCTCTCTCACTCACTCTGTCTCTCCTTATTTACAATTATCTCTCTCTCTTCATTCACTTCTCTCCGTCTCTCCTCATCTGTCTTGTTCTTCCTCTCCTTACCCGACTGTCTCGTTTTACCTCCGTCTCGCTGCTTCTCACTGCCAAATGCCATTATGAAATTGCATTTAATAATTTAGGATGGGACACCCTCTATTTGAGTCACATACAAACCTGTAGAGATTAGGTAACCGATATGGGGGATCTAGCCAACATGAGAGCATAGCCAGCTTTCTCAATGTTGTTAGGAATGTTTAGAGGCAAACATGGGTAACATGATCACATTGTACTCTCATATAAGATTGACCTCTTTTCAAAGGTAATGAAATTGTTTTGAAACTGATTTTCTGTTCTGCCTTTCAATCCCAAGTACTTTTGTGTAGCCAAGAAAGTTATTTAATCGATGAGTCAAATAAACAGGCTCTTGAAAATTACTACTCTTCAAGATGATAATTGAAAAAACTAAAAATGTTGATGACATTGACTCTCTCTCTTTCTCTCTCCCTCACTCTCTTCTTCTCTTTGTTTCTCAACATTATCAGTCTTCTCTGACAGTGCTGTCTCTTCCATTTTACCCATGGCCTTCTCTCTCCCCTCCCCCTCTCTTTCTATATTGCTCTGTTATTTATCGTTCTCTTAATCACTCTCTCTTTTCTTTCTTTTTCTCCGCATCTTTAAGAGTTGATCCTCAACACCCAGAGCAAGACTTTAGATGCAGAATCCTTGTTAACCTACTTCCAAATGAAGATGCAAACTGGTGCCTTTTATCATTAATCTTATCACGTAGAAATCATGAAGGAATTTTGAGATTTAGCTGGAGGCAGATTGTTCATCCAATTTCTTGAGATGTGTCTGTCATCATACAATTGATGGAATTCAGTTCTTTCTCTTTTTTCATCTTCTTCTTCTTGACAGCTATTATTCCAGAAATAGTTTATTTTCTTACACTTACAGTGAAATGAACATCAGTTCACAGAATTACTAATGACTTTTTTCTGGTAGAACAGAATATAAATGACACTGGGCTAAGATTGTTCTATGTTAATCAAAGCATCACGATAAGGGAGTGAAATTTGTATTTAAAATAAATCATACAATTCTAAATGACCCAGTTCTGACAATCTGAGCACATGTGTTAAGTAACATTAATCCAATATGAAATAAAATTATATATCATTGATGACTGTTTTAGATCTGACGCCAGTCAATTCATTTCTATAAACTGCACGAGGCCCTTACTTGTGATTCCTACATCCATCACTCCTATGACCAGTATGTTTATCATTAAGACACATTTATTTTTAAATGGTGCTTTTCAAAAGGTCCTTTGATACCAAATTCACTATTCTACCCAGAATGTTACTCTTGAATCAAACAGTATATTGTGACTAACGATAATATTTATATGAATGTTCATACCAAGATGACAAGAGATCAGTCTATCTATTTAAACAAAACCAGTTGATATCTTAGGACATGCTGTAATTTCTTCTAAAAAAAAAGTTGATAAAAGTTAACATATTATGAATTACAACAAAATACTTGCACACCCATTCAGGTTCTTTTTTAATAGCTTACAAACTTTTTTGATTCTCATGATGATTCTAGTGGCTATTTCCATTACACAAAGAGCAATAAAATTATTGTTTGTTTTTTTACTTAAGTAATTTATCCTATTCATAGCTTAATGTGCCTTTCTATTTGTTTAAAGTTTTAGAAGGTTTGTTGCTATTTCATTTTGCTATTGGCCAATAAATTAAACTGTGTTGCTATGGAAATTAATCCTGTGTTTATTGAGTCATCAATATTACTGTACCTATCAATCAAGCAATTAATTTTCATAATTTGTAGCCCTTACTCATCCATTCATAAAGTCATATGATTTCCTTTGAGTCTTTAGAGACTTAGTTATGACAAGTAGTAAATGTCAGATTCCAGAAGTGAATTATATCCCAATCTGATTGATCCTCAAGATTAGTTTAGATTAGTTACTGACCTGATCCTCATCCCTTGTTTGATGTACCAAGAAATTGATTGAGCTGCAGAAAGGACATGAGGGACCGATGGATACTATATTTATTTATTTTTAAAAAATTGTGCGGTAATTCAATAACACCTAACTTGTGTTTCTGTTTAGCAAACCGAAAATTGTTATTTATAATGTTCATGAATACTTCTATCTACATCTGTTTTTATATCTTTTCATATTTTCATCACAGTTTCTCTTTCTTCTGCATTTTTTTACCCGGCCGCTTCCTCCACATTCTCTCTCTGTCTCTGTCTCTCTGTCTCTCTCTCTGTGTCTCTCTCTCTTCTTCTCTCTTCCTCTCTATCTCATCATCCTCATTTATCAAACATCAGAATATCATCTCTCCCTAAATTATTCATATGTCACATACATCAGAAGTAATCTTTCTCATTCTGATATGAAAGTGTCACACAAGAAAATGTTATATCGTTGGAAAGTGGCATTTTACTTGACAGAAGTGGAATTCAGCAATCCTGTTTTCGACAAAAGTGAAACCACTTGGCATTTTTTGGAGCCCAACTTTCCAGAACCTCTCTATCCATATTAGAAAAGTAATTCAATTTCCATAATTGCACTCAACTGTCCCATTTGTCAACCTGAATACAAGACAGAAGTACAGCAATCCTAGAGTACTAGCAGTGGGTGAATTTATGAGGGCCTGTGTTTGGGAGTGTTTCCCCAGTGCGTCAATGGGATGTTCATGCTTCATTTAGCTGGGATTTGATGAGCTCATCATCTGACAGTGTAGCTTAACCCTCTCCAGGCCTGTCTCCATCAGCTCGAGTATGCCAAATAACCCGCTATTTTAACTATCCCGATCGCAAATTAACCAGTTAATTCACGTCTCCATGAGCCCGCAGTTGCAATTAGTGGGATATTTGGTTGAGAAGTATCCCGAGAAATCTTGGTTCTTGTTTCCAAAATATCCCACTATTTTAAAAACAACAGGCTAATTTGAGCCCATCCGAGCTAGTTTGTGATGAGCGTATCGGTCTGGTGAAGTTGCAATTTTGAGCTGGACAGGCCTTCTGTGCCACAAAGTTTATGAAATACTGTTATATACTAACTTTAAAAGTGTCCTGTTTTCCCACCTCAAGTCTACATGTGCCTTATATGGGCTACAATCTGAAACCATCTTCATCACAATGTCACTCTTCTGTGACAATTCATTTTAAAACAAGAAATTAGGTGCCACATTCAGCTGCAAAGTAGGAAACGTTTGACCTATGTCACGAACCCAGCTTCTGATATGATGTGACATCGAAGCTTTCAAACCAACTTAAACTAGCTAGGACCTGTCTGACCATAGTTTCCTCTTACAATAATATACTGCTTCATATGATTTAATATCAGATGGTTGACATGATGGTGTCCAGGGTATATGACAACAGACAAGGGTGTTGCTAGACCAATCTAAATTGAAATGTCAGATAAAATTATATGACAAGCTAGCCAAAACTTCCAACCAGCAAAAAAAGAGGCACAAGATTTTAAATTAAAAATTTAAAATGGGGTTTGAAATGGTCGTAGCAACACAGGAAGAGGAATAAAGGAGCCCAAAGTCTCTGCTCAACTACAAGAATCATAAGAACCATCACTTATGGAAGTTGATGGAATCTTGGTTTACGGTAAAATGAGGGTCAGTAGAAGCTACCACAGAGATATCCTTACCTTCAATTCAAGTTGCTTGTTGGATACCACCACGTTACAGTTTTCTCTCTCCACATCACTAAGACCAGTGTCAGTTGATGATAACCCATTCTGTCGTCATGAAAATTAAAATGAAAAAAAGAAGATGCAAACATTCATTAAAGAAGGACTTGCATGATTTAGGGCCAGAAAGTGTGTTACATAATGCTCTTGAGAGGATAGTAGGTTTGCCATTAAGTCATAAATGAGGGCATACTTTTCTAAGCAGCTTCCAAGTACTCAAAATGCTGAGCAAGCTACATTAACGTTCACATCCTCCTGGGTACCCACATAACACCTGGGTGGAGATTGGCAAATGTAGATTAACGTCTTGCCATTTTAGTGCCCAAGCAGGATTTGAACCCTGTACCTTGTGATCTGCAGTGACTTAGTCCACTAGACGACGACACCTCTACAACTACCTCTAACCCTAACTCTAACTCTAAAATTATATCTTCGATAAAATAAAGGCCAGAGAAAATATCCTCTTAGAGACTGCTGGGCCACCTAACCCAAGAACAAGGGGATAGAAACAACAACAAAAAAGAGGGGGAAAATAAATCGTTGTTATCATTTGATTCTACTCACCTGTAACCGTTTACAACTCTCTGCATTATCACACAGTGATTCCACGCTGCTTGCGCTCCGTAACCGTATGATCTCCTCCTGTAACGCCTCCAGCTGAGCATTGCACGACTTATTCTCTGCAACAGCGCCCTCTAGTTGCTTCTCCAGACATGTGCGGGCCTCACGCTCTTGCATCAGCTCCCGCATCGTTGTCTCTTTCTGTATAGAGAGAAGAAACAAAAAATTAAATGTTTGTTTATCATATCCTTGGTATCTATAATTATGAAAGGTACATACATACTGGTATTTTTAGTCAAATAGATTAAAACTGTTCAGCGTTCTATAAAAAGACACTATTGAAATTTTCTTCGTAACTTCACATGAACTTATAATACCTTGTGTTGTACCTCTTCGAATATACTTAAAACACACACATACACACAAACAGATCCCGTCCAATGATGTAACGGAAAGCCTCGTCCACATATGACAATGGTATACCACAGGCTTTGTAAAGATGTTGCTTGGTCTTTTGCAACCCATGGTAACCCATAATGAGCATCTACAAACTTCGATCAGCCTGGAAGAAAATTGCTATAAAAGTGAGAAGTAGTATGAGCTCAAAATTAGCCTGTTTCGAAGATAAGATACTCACATAAAATTTCATGTGTGCAAATCTTTTCAGATCAAGCCTCAAACCTTGCTATGGCACCACAGAAATAATGTAGTCCATAGAAAAGTTTTTCAAACACAAATTTTCGTCCAAAGTGTCATTCGATGGTCATCAACAGTGGTGAAAGAAACACATCTCTGTATCGCACTTATGATTATCCTGACGATCCTGAGCTTCCCCCGTACAAGATCACATCAGTGGCAGACCGACCGATCAAATGATTTCCCTCATTCCCACCAGATGTCCCCATCCAATCAAAATTCCCCCACAAAACCGAGGATGACAGCCCCCTCCGTCCAACCGGTGGTAAGATGGAAGGGGCAAGATCTGAGGTGTTACAGACTAGAAACACGAGAGGTAAATAGTTAGTCCTCAGGGGGCGACAGATTCATGCTTTCTGGCTTCCTCTACCTAGCACAACTCCCATTCCGAAAGAAGGATGGTGACTGAACTTGGTCTGCACCTCCTGCCCAAGCAGCTAGCTAGTCTTCCTACCATAAACAGTTACCACGGTAACCTCTCATCCAGTGTGATGTCCTCCATTATGGCTACAGATACCTGACTATTTCTTTGTTTATCAGTATTAGAGAAGTATAGTCATTACAGCAGCACAGATCAAGAGGCCTCTAAGCTAAAACTCTCTTTCACACCCAGCTCTGCCAGCGAGCTTAACATTTCATTCCATCTATTGATAATTCATGGCCGGGGGCGCTACTGAACCTCTGCCCGGTAATTGGGGGAAGCGGAGGATAGGACGATGTGAGTCAGAGCAGAGGGATATCCCAAGGAACATTACGGAGAGAGCAGGAACATCTTTATCATATTATTCTTTTCTTTATAACTTTTCCTATTTTCCTTCTTTATATCTTGGAGAAAAACAATAAGCGATATAAAGGAGACATAATGAAGTCTTTCTTTATCTTGTTCTTTTAGCATGCTTTACAAATTGGACTGCAAAATATTGTTGTATCATACTATTCCTTTGACTTAAAGTTGTCTTCTAATATTTACAAATCATATCATCCACAAAATTCTTAAATTATCTCTACTCAAAAGCACACTAAGTTCAAAATTGTCCTCATTATTAGAGTTGTATTACCCATATATCAAATTTTATCCATGCTTCAAATCACTCAAACTTATTCAGCACTTTGGATATTGTTTCAACTTTATTTCTGTTCCCACCCTCCTAATTCAGCCCTCCCTAAATTTGATAACTAACTGCATCCTACATGTACGAGTGAGAAAATACGATACTGAATTTTTAAATCAGTTGCTAAAATATCTGACAAAAACTACGATGGAATTAAATGAATCTCTTCCCCTTCCATTTTTGTGAAAAATTGTAATTTAATAGCTTCATGAGTGAAAATGCATCTAATGTGACCTTGATAGCATCACATTGTTTGTCTTGAGAGTTTTCGCCTTGACAGTGAGCCCTCGGGGTTCCGTTGGCATTCAGCGCGTTCCTTGGCTTCCAATCATGACACGATTGATTTTATTTCAGATAACAGCTTGTCGGTAATTTCATATTTAGGAATTACTTCTTAGCCCTCCTCGTTCATTATGCTGATTTGGACCTATTATTGCATTTCATAGTTTTCCCTTTTTTCTGCAGCTGACAATTAAGGCTCTCTGATTGCATCAGTTTTGGGGAAATTTCCTTGTAATTTTGGAGGGGATAAAATCAATTGCAGTTGTTATTGTTTGTGTTTTTCCTGAGGCAGTCATGTGTAGATGACACCTCTACGTTCACATGATGAGAGCATGAATGAAAACGGCATCGGGTGTCGGGGCTCCGCAAACAAAGGGACGCGGATAGGGGAGAAAAGAAGAAAAGGCGAGAAAAAAGCAACCGGTTTTCATAAATGGGACAGTCAGTGAAGGCTAAAAAGGAATATGAGGGGTAACAGAGAGAACTGGAGACAGGGGTTAGGAGAAAGGGAGTGAAAGCACTTGAAGAACAATATTGATGTTTTCAGAAAAATAATTCCTGATGTTGTCTTCAACCTACTGGATACCTCAAGAAAACACAGTTGCACTCCCTTATCAAGCCTGACCAGCATCAATAGTGGTTCTTTTTAAGGGGGGAAAGAACAATGGTAGAAAATACTGAAAAAATGAAGTATACACAAATTAGGCTCAAATTGATTCACCACTAGAGATACTAGAGACAAGTAATGGTACTAACCCTTCATTCATACTACCAGCATTCATCGTATAGCTATACAATAAGTAATTACCCCTATACAAATTTAAGTTCGTCGCGAACTCGTATTATGCTCGTGGTAAGCTTAATAAGATCGTTTTTTAGGCTTTAAGCTCGTAACACGCTCCCAGGACGCTTGTAACGATCTTACAAAATCTTGGCGAGCTCGTGCACGAGTTCGCCACGAGCTCGTGGCGAACTCGCGGGTAAACTGGGGAGCTCGTGGCGAGCTCGTGGATAAAAGAGGGAGCTCGTGGCGAGCTCGTTGGTAAAAGGGGGAGCTCGTGGCGAGCTCGTGGGTAAAAGGGGGAGCTCGTGGCGAGCTCGGGCGTAAACTGGGGAGCTCGTGGGCGAGCTCGGGGGTAAACTGGGGAGCTCGTGGCGAGCTCGTGGGTAAAAGGGGGAGTTCGTGGCGAGCTCGGGGTTAAACTGAGGAGCTCGTGGCGAGCTCCCCAGAGCTCCCCAGAGCTCGCCACGATCTCGCTGGTAAACAGGTGATCCAGCTCCCAGGAAAACAGTTAGGTATACAGTGTGAGTCCCAAAAAAATTTACACCTAGAAAATTGCTAATTATTTTAAAAATTATCTGTGAACAGTAAATTATTATACATTCTATGAAAGAGTGTTTTATCTTGAATCATTTAGTATCATTTTTGTGTGGTATGTTTGGATGAACAGGAGGCATTGCATGCGAGAGTGCAAAAATCGACTTGCGCCAAAGTTGCTAATGTGATGTTTGAATAAAACAATTGCGATATGGGTATTATTTCAGTCATTACAGATCAACACAACATCCCAAACAAAATTAATCATGCCACACATATCAAAAATTGAATATAAAATATCAACGAACATTGTTAGTGTGTTTGCTTGTGACTCTGCTTCTGCAAAAAACATATGCAATGCATTTCATTTGATACATTCAATTCATTCTCTCACTCCGCTGATCCCAACATAATACATACTGTAGGCATCACTTTGGCGCAAGTCAATTTTTGCACTTTCACAAACAATGCCTCCTGTTCATCCAAGCGTGAACACATACCACACAAAAGTGATACCAAACGATTTGGAATAAAACACTCTTTCATAAGATGTATAATAATTTACTGTTCATAGATGATTTTTAGAATAATTAGCATTTTTCTAGTTGTAAACTTTTTTTTGACTCACACGGTATACATGTATATATTTTAAAGTTCCCTTCAGGATGCCAATTTCTTTTATTTATTCTATTAATATATGTACATGTATTTTTAAAATGTCTTGGGCCAAGGAAAATGAGTTCCTACTTCCTAGTTTCTTGTCTCCACCAGCATCCTTTTTATGTAATTTTTTTTAAAATAAAAAATATTGATCTGAAGATATCTCTCACCTGAAATAATTAAGGTAAACAAATGCATACTTTATTATTTTGATACATTTTTGAGCCTCTTTGTCAGAACATATGCAATTACATTGAAAGTTCAGAAAATTTGTGTTGAAATTGAAACAATAGCTTTTTCATGCTGAAGTAACCTGTCAAATTACTTGTAAATTTAATTAAATTCTTTTGAAACTTTGAAACATTTATTTGCAGCATACCAGATTGGGAAGGGGGGGGGGGGGTTGCCATTTATTCTGACTGTATCATATATTTAACACCTTGAAATGTCACTATCAGGTATTACATAAGAGCACACACCCAGACCTTGATTCGAGGTCAACTCCCTGTTTCTAACTTGCTCTCTCCTTATGTACATAGGATTCCCCCTCCTTACACACAAATCCCTATTCCTATCTCTTCTCCCCTCTCTCACTTTCTTGTGTACACTCTCTTGTGGAATTACCACTGGTAGCATTCCTGATAAGAATGAATTGACTTGTTAGGCAGATTTGGTCAGCCATTTTCTATCTTGTTTTTGTGGAGAGCAGACATGGATTTTGAATGGTACTGCATGCTGAAGCTCCTTTGTTTTAGGTAAGAGAAAAACTTATTTCTCACACCTTATAACTAAATGTTCTACTTGTGTTCTACTTGTGTAAGACTAGGCCAACAGTTAGGCCTACCTCTCTTATACATTTATGAAAGAGAAGTGTAGAGTAATGATTAATGAGATAAAGTATTTATTCTCTTTCTAAATCTAGTGAGATATCTTTTCATATATTGGGAAGTTTGTTTCTCCATCTATCTAGCACATACATGTAGTATATTCACTTCATTAAAGTAACATTAGATATAATCTAATTCTCTTCTCCCCACTCTCACTTTCTTGTTTACTCTCTCTTGTGGAATTACCACTGGTAGCATTCCTGATAAGAATGAATTGATGTGTTAGTTATAGGCCACTTTGGGCAA